CCTGCAATTCGTATGAGGCCAATTTATTGAATCAAATAAGTTTGTCATTCAGTCATTTTAAAAGTGGTTTCGCTTTATATTAAACTTACCATTGGAAGCCATTTCAGATGCTTCAATTGCTCCAAAAGTGTAGATTTCTGATACGTATTCAGTCAAATAGTTTCCTTAGATGTGTTTTTCCAAAAGCCATCTGCATTAGAGGGTTAAAGGGAAAATACCCTAGTAAATTTTATGACGAGAATGTTGATTAAAATTAATCACCCGTGTATTCTTGGAAAAGGGGCGTACTTATGCATGGTTAAGTTACTGATCACGAATTGCGAAAAAAAGGTCAAAATGCAATAAACATCCGCTCTTTCTCGGAAACAAGACAATGCGATAAACGGCTCAATTAAGATATAAAATATCAAGCACATCTTATATTTGCATACATTTCAAAGGTTATGGAAATTTGAGTTCCCGGACCTTGTTTTCCGCGAATCGAAATACATCCGGGAAACCATATTCTACACTGTTCTACTTTCTTTTATTACATTTTCACAACTTTTTACGTTTTGCTTCAGGTGATGTCGGCTAAAAAGATTTCTAGCTCCAATTCGGTTCGACCAAGTATCGAGGACACTTCAAATTGGCAGAAACCCTCGCTGATTCACAGTGACAATGATACAATGTCAAAGGATGATCTTATTGAGGCCATTACACTTCGACTCACCCGACTGGAGGAGCTGGAGCAGGAGAATATAATTCTGAAACGAAAACTTAATAGGTACTTTCTTAACTATTTCCTTTTCGTGACTGCAGTATTTAGGAAACCATGGATGTGTTATTGAGTGCAGTTAAATTATTCAGCGTACGATCGATCGAAAGTAAAGCTTCCGGTTTTCAGCAAGCTAGAATCTTCGCCACATTCATTTTCTCTCTCTTTTTTTTTTTTTTTAATTTTCTTTATTTTGACTGGGAAAGGCCTTATATTTTAATTTCGCAACTATTTCATTTCCCCCTCTCGCAGCCTCATTACTCAATGTGAGTGACAAGATTCAACATCTGTGACCTATAAAAACAAACTTAGTCAAGAGCGTAACTCATTAGGCATAAATAATTCCGGTCAGTATAAAATACCGACTGCGGACTGCGGACCACGGACTGCGGACTTGGTATACTTGAAAATACGGACTAGGTATAAAATGCGGACTCCGGACTGAGTATAAAACACGGACTAGGTATAAAACGCGGACTGCGGACTATGTATATAAAAATGACTTTAGAAAGGTAAACCGAGAGAAATGGAAAGCGGACTAGCAAAAACAGTACTCCCAGCTTTAACATTCCCTTGGCTGTTCACGTAGCCTGTTCTTCCCACGGAAGGTTATGCCGGTACTCAAGGCAACTGAAATTAAACTCTGAATTTTATAAAAGGAGGGAGTTAGAAGAGATTTGAATTTGCAGTTTTAAACCAATAAGAAGCACCGAATTTAAAAAAAAATAGTATTGGTGTAAGTCAGATCAGTAAATTTCTTATCGGATGTCACAATTCCGTTTCAAATAAAGCCTTGTGAATATGAGGACTGAATGAAGAACTCAGACGAGAAGGTCAATGTAGGGCATTCTGCAATGCACAAAAGCAGTATTTAGGGGGGAGGGATTACTCACATACGTGAATAATAACCGAAATGAGTCATCCAACGTTATGTTCTAAGCGATGATTATGATGACATGATTTACACCCTGATCCTGATCCCCGAAGAGTGGTACCACTGGGAATTCTTGGTGGGGGTGTGGTGCCCGGTTCTCAGAATCCTGACCTTATTGCAGACCAAAAATGCCATTTTCCACATCCGTTTTCAGACCAGATCTCTAAAATCAATACCCATTTTCGGACCTGGCCTAATTTAGCCTGTTCCAGGCTGTCAGATAGTTGGGAAGACTCCCCAGTTTTCTCCCGTTTTATTTTCGTGTTTTCGCTTTCTTAATTGAGCGGACCCAACTATCTCAGAGCCTGGAACAGTTTAGGTCTAATTAGGCAGAAATTATGTCATCATTACCAAGTTAGAGCGGAAACAAAAAAATTCTCAAAATGCATTTCGAATTCGCACATTTCTATTTCGTTCTTATTCATTCGGAATTGAAACGATAAATACGTCCATTCATGCACGCTCCCGTAGTTCCCTCGAAAACCATACCCGATTCCACACCAAAACGGGCAAAGTGTTTTCAGACCAAAAAGGCTCAGAACTCCTACCCTTCCATTATATAAGGAAGTGCCACCCCCGATCCTGACCCCATTCACGATTGTTAGAGACCAAGACAAGGTCTAAAAATGGGTGCATTTTGACCCGGCTCATGATTCAGAGAACCGTGCGGCACACTTCCACCAAGACTAATTTATAGGAGTATTTAAAACTTTAACTTACGTGTCTTGCTATTTAGCGATCTTTGATCTTATTTTTCCTTACCTAGAACCAATTAGCACCGTTTTTACCAAAGTAGTCCGTAGTCCGTATTTTATACCCAGTCCACAGTCCGAGGTCCACGTTTTATACCTTGTCCGTGTTTTATACCCAGTCCGTGTTTTCCAGTCCGCGTTTTATACCTAGTCCGTATTTCATACCCAGTCCGCAGTCCGTAGTCCGCAGTCCGCAGTCCGTGTTTAATGCTGACCGTAAATAATTCTGCAGCAGGCGTTACAAACTGCAATTTTAATCTTAAGTTCACGATCACTTGACAGCATGAAGACAGATGAAGAATATATCTCAAGAGCAAAACAACTGTTAGAAGAGAAAGATAATGAACTGCGAAGGCTACGAGAGAGGTAGGACAGACGTATTAGTGTGAAGCAGTATATTTCTCATTTCAAAAGGGGTTGTGATCAGCTTCAAACACCCCTTCCCCCACCCTTGGCGGGAGCTTCCTTATTTTACATAAGCCGGGGTAAGTTGGGGTTTTTTTTTCACTAATTTGAGTCTTGAACAAGATTTCTGTTTTGGACCAGCAGCTCTTGAAGACTGTGGGATAAGAAATTTTTCCCCTAAAATATAATTCCGTGATGTCAGTTTGAAAAGGTTTTGTACGAAAAATTCAAAGCAAATAAAAATCCTGAAATCCGAGCGTTATTTCCTGGCTTCGAATAGAGCCCTCATTTGCTATATTAAGAACTGTACAAAGATGCGTCAGAGGTTCTAGATATCGATTCAAATCACGTGAGGTCTCAGAAGACTTCACTTTCGCTGTAGCTGGTCTACATCTGCACTCATAACTTTAGGCTTAAATTTTTGATAGTTTTTTTCTTAGTGATGCTTGATTTTTCCATTCAAATCACGTGAGGTCTCAGAAGACTTCACTTTCGTTGTAGCTGGTCTACATCTGCACTCTAAATTTTTGATAGTTTTTTTCTTAGTGATGCTTGATTTTCCTTTTCCCACTTTTAAATTATTTACAATTATAAGTAGTTTCCTATCGTAGACAGATATTTAGTTGTTAATTTGTAAACAATACGATATAATTTAAAATTGTAAATATTTAACAATTATTCTTTGAAATCGAGGTAAATAGTGGCTACATATTTACCGAGCCGCGAAAGCGGCGAGGTAAGTATTCCCAAAGCCACTATTCCCCGAAATTGAAAAGAATAATTGTTTTAGTATATACACACGAACTGATCTCAACAAAATCAGAGAGGAAACCATTAAAAAGTACGATTTGAATGACAGCTCAGGTCAGCTAGACACGTGAAAGTTTTAAAATAGATCTTTGTAGAATTTTCAAACATGGCAATTCACAAGCTTATCACTTCGCAAACAACAGCGTGATGACTTAAATGGAACCGCTAAAAGTTTGAATTGTTTCCTTACCTGAGAAGAAAAGAAGAGCTTTGTTGTTATCTGTTGACTCGCCAAGTTTACAGCCGAAAAGGTTTGCTGTGTCGTTCTTCGCATGATGTGCTGACAAAAAAATTGCGATTCGGTTCCTCGCGGTAAGGCTTCGTCTTCATGTGGCATTCTTTCTCTTATTTACTTGAAACGTAGAATTTCTGCAAACATTTGCTTGCAAATTTGTTTGTCTTAAGTAAACTTCGTTTTTTAGCCAAATTTTTCTTGTTAGGAAACGCTGAGCGCACGAAACGTCTTCTTCTAGGCGAATAAACGGGAGTTGTAAACAATCCATCGACCACAAAACTCAACTACACTAAATGGAAAAAAGCCGTTTTGAATCCTTCGAAGTCTTTTCTTGCCTGAAAAAAAGTCAACCCTAGGATTTTGTCGACTTTTAAAAGATCTTTCTCTATAAAAATGGGAAAAAATCGAGCTCACACATTATCCACTCGCTAGGAGGTGAATATTGTTCAATAGTCCGAGATAGCGAACCAATCAGATTGCTTAATTCACCAACATCATTGAGTGTGTATATACTAAATAAAAATATATGTGTAAATAAATAAAATGATAAACGACAAACTTTGAAAAATCTACAACTAGTAACGCTAAATGTCCAAGTCTGATGTTGTTGACATTGACTGACGATTCTACAACCTGTGCAGTCGTCTTCCGAGTCAATGTGACTTGTGTCACGTTAGTTGATAACATCAAATTTTGGTCATTGACTTGATTGGTGATCAATTAAGTCGCGATGTTATTGTTCGTCTGTCAGTTAAGCCGTGATGTTATTGGCTTTGAAGAGTCATAATGTCATTAGTGCGTTTTTTTTCAATATCTGTGTTCGGATACGTTGCAGCTAACTATACTTTAGCAGTAGGCGTTGTTTGTTTTTTCTCTATAATGATAAGGTCTTTTAATCTTGGCAACACTGACGCTCTAAACATAGACTTGGGGAGGGGAAAGTTTTTAACTGATAATTTGTATTCTACCTAAGAGAGAAATCAGCGCAATTTTCACAAATCAATCGTCTTTTTAATAGATTTCAAAGTAAACCTAAAATTCAATTCATCTCTTTGTTTAGCGTCATAGCCAAAGTAAACGCCTAGAATCGTAATAGTGTTACAAAGA